CCCGGACACGCCCCGAACGCCCCCGTGCGCGCCCCCGCCCCTAGCTCCTCCCCAGCACGCCCCTTCTGGGGAGCAGCCTCCTCGGGGAAGAGCTCGCGTGGCTTATTGATGCTCTTCCAATTAGGCTGGGACCCCCTAGTTCTGGGGACCAAGAAACCAGGATCTAACTCAGTACTAGGGAGTCCAGCGCCGCTGTGCCCCAGACCGAGAACACCTCTCATCAGGCTTCTTTCCCTGTAAGCCTCACTCTGAGTCCCTAGTTGACTCATTTATTCATAAAGTTTTGTTGTTGCTATTGTTTGTTTTGTTTACCGGGGCTTGAACTCCGGCCCTTGTGCTTGCGAGGCAGGGGAGCAGAACCACTGAGCCAAATCCCTGGCCCTTGTTTTTTAATTTCTTGAGCTAGTGTTTTGCTATGTAGTCCAGGCTGGTCTTGACTTTGTGATCCTCCTGCTTCAGCCTCCCTAGTGCTGAGACTGCAGGTATGCACCACCACGCCCAGCTATCAGTTTTGTTTTGAGTACCTATTTTATAGCAGGCTCTGAGTAAACGGCCCTGAATAAAATAGGAAACTTCAACCTCATGGAGATGACAATCTAGTAGAAAATAATGATAATAACACCCAACATGTCCATAGCACACCCTATGGGACAGTCATTCCCTCACCCCATCCCTTTTACAGGCCAAGATAGTGAAGCACAGCGGGGTTGAGTAACTTCAGCAAGGTATTAAGGATAGCATCTCTGAATGGTGTTAAATGGCGGAGGTCGGTTTGAACCACAGTGATCTGGCTGCAGGATCCGTGCACCAAACCATGTCACTACACGAACAACTGATACTGTGCCAACGCTTTCTCACCCAAAGTAGCGGTTTGTTTGGACAGAGGGCAAGTGCTAGAGGCACAGTCTGTCATCTCTTCAGCACACTATGACGTAGCTCTCCTTCCAACCTTGGGAAGAAGGTCTCCTTGCCTCTGGATGACCCGCGTCCCTGACCGTCCTCACAGCAGCCTCAGCACAGATGTGTCTCCACCTGTTCCGCTCAGGATCCACTCTTCCAATTCCTCTCCCGCCTCCACTCCTAGTACGCCTCTCTCTCCTCTCGTTCCACTTCTTGTCTCCTCCTAGATGCCCTAGTTGCTCCTAGGTCCCCTCCCACTGCAGGGCTGTGCTGTCACAACCAGATATGCTGTCTTCTCTTTTCTCCTGGTTGAACCCTTCTAAGGTAGTGGCTCCAAAATATTTATCTACAACCTGGACATCTCTGCTGAGTTCCACTAAAGGGTATCCAAATATTTCCATCATGGTGTCTCATAGACTCATGAATCCCAACACACCCAGCACATCATCTTCCTGTCCTAAATTACTCCTCCAGTTGCTTGCTTGCCAAAAGATTTTTTTGTTTGTTTGTTTGTTTTTTGAGACAAGGTCTCACTATGTACTTGAGACTGATTTGGACCTCACTATGTAGCCCAGGCTGGTCTCTAACTCACAGAGATCCTCCTGCCTCAGCCTAGGGTGCTGGGATTATAGGTGTGCACCACCATGCCCAGCTTTTTAAAAAATTCTGTTTATTATTTTTTTAGAGTAGAGCCTGGCACAAAGACTTGAATGAATAAGTTTGTATGGGCACACGTTTCTGTGTGTAATATTGCTTAGGAACCTTTTATTAAAAATTACAAAAATAAAGCTGGGCATGGTGACACACTCCTGTAGTTCCAGCACCCTAGGCTGAGGCAGGAGAATCGCGATGAGTTTAAGGCCAGCCTGGGCTACAGTGAGTTTGAGGAACAACATAGTGAGACACTGTCTCAAAGAAAAAGCTAAGGGCTAGGGATTTAGCTCAGTGATTCGGTGGCCTGCCTCTCAAGCGCAAGGACCCGAGTTCAATCCCTGGTACCAAA